TCCAAGGTTGTAAATCTTTACATAAAACTACTGCCACATTTTTCCTCCCAGGAAGTGGCTGGTGGTTTCGAACTGCTCAACTTTGGATTAGCAGCTGAGGGCTTAACCATTGCGCCACCAGGGCTCCTTATTTTCTCAAAACTTTAATTTATTGTTTTCAAAATGTGACTAAGTTCAGTTTATGAGAAAAGATTTACAAATACAGAGGTAAGTTTAGGCTTTGCTTGCACAAGAGGCTACCTGTTTACTATGTGGTCAATATGGAATGTAAACTAGGCATCTACATCCATCACATCACTTAGGACTAACTGGAAACAGCTAAAGAGCATTTTTTAATGGGTAGAAGGAAAAATACTCAAGAAAAACAAAAATAAAGTTAAAAGGAAATGTAATAATGCTAATTAAAATGGGCACTTAAAGTCTGAATATTCAATCTCTTTCTATCATCAGTTGTACTTAATTTTAGATAATGTTGTTGTTACGTGCCCTCGAGTTGGACCCGACTCATAGTCGACTCTTCCTTGAGTTTCCAAGGCAGTATCACTACGGAAGTAGATTGCCCAACCTTCCTTCTGAGGAGTGGCTGGTGGGTTTGAATCGCCAGCCTACTGGTTAGCAGTCTAATACCTTAGGCACTATGCTATCAGAGCTCCTAATTTTAGATAATAGTTCAAACAGTTGTGTGATAAGAACCCACCCACCCCCCAAAAAAAACACATAGCGACCCCCATTGGGTTTCCAAGGTGGTAAATTTTTATAGAATTACATCCCCAGCCTTGCTTCCGTGGAGTGGCTGGTGGGTTTGAACCACCAGCCTTCTGGTTAGCAGTCAGATGCCTTAGGCATTGTGCTACCAGAGCTCCTCAATTGCATGGTATGTTCCCTAAAAATAAAAAAAAATAAAAGGAAGTTATGTCCAGTACTCTTTAAATGTATTTTTATTTAATTCAGCTGAAGTTAAGGAGTTGGGATTATTGATACCTGTATGACTTGGTGGTAATAGAATAAGATAGTGCTAAAGCCTTGGCAGAAGTGCAAGCTGGATTCAGAAGAGCATGTGGAACAAGGGATATCATAGTTGCTATCAGATGGATCTTGGCTCAAGGCAAAGAATACCAGAAAGATGTTTACTTGTGCTTTATTGACTATGCAAAGGCATTTGATTGTGTGGATCATGACAAATTATGGATAACATTGAGAAGAATGGGAATTCCTGAACACTTGATTATACTCAT